CTAAACAATATAAGACTACATCATTTAGATCCTAAAACGTACTTTTGTATGGCCAATCAATAAAAACAGAATATTGTCAAAAACTTGCAGTCTTGGGGCACCTGGGTGGCACAGTCTGTTAAGAGTCTGCCTTTGGCTCCAGTCATGATCCCAGGGTCCTAGGATTGAGCCCCGCATTGGGCTCCCTGCTCAGTGGAGAGCCTGCTTCTCCCCCTTCCCCTTTCCCCTGCTTGTGCTCTCTCTCTCTCTCTCAAATAAATAAATAAAACCTTGAAAAAAGAAAAAAAAGAAAAAACTTTCACAGTCTAGATTTTCTGATTTTTAAAAAGTTCAGTCAGGGTTCAGAGAAAAGTGTCTCTCAAGTGGGCCTAAGGTTAAGTAATATATTTTAACTAACAGGCTATGAGAAATCTAAAGGAAGCCTGAAAAATTTTACATTTTTAAAAAATTTTGATCACATATGATCAAATTCAGAATTCAGAACCTCTATAGAATCTCTCACAAAGTCTAACTCTAAAAAAAAACAAACAAAAAACCCATATTTCTAAAATTCAGGTCTTACAATAAGTATGTCTTTGAGTAGTTCCAAAATACATTTTGCCTCGGAATGGTGGGCACTTTAAATATGGATAAGTAATTTACCTTTCAAGTAGCTCAAACAGGGAGGGAGAGAATAGGAGCGAATGTCAAGGGCAAGTAGCCTCCACTTCACTCAGGGTTTTTGTCTTTTTATTCCTCAGCTGTGGGTATCAGTAGTCTTCACAAGGTGAAACTAGCCTACAGGAATTTCACTTCCACATCTATTCATTCATATTTAAGATGGATTACGTTTTCGAACAGTATCTCCTTTAACTTATTAAAATATTAGCTATTATTTTTTAGGTCCTTAGTATATACCAAAAGATAATCTAAGCATTTCAACTATATTATTGCATTGAATTTGATTCCAAAACAACAACCCTCTGAGGTAAGTGTAATTATCTCCATTTTTAGATTTGGTAACTGAGATTTAGAAAGATTAAGTCAGTTTACCATGACAGAATATGGAAAGAACTGGGATTTGTATCATCTGGGTGATTTCAAATCCAATGTCCTTGTCCACTAAGCTGTGCTGTACAATATGGTATACAGAAAACCGTTTTATCTTTAGACTCAGGACACTCAGGTTGAAATCCCAGGTATTAGCTGTGTAAATTTAACAATTCCCTGATCATTTCCTCAGTGTACATTTCCCCAATTGTAAAATGAGGTATATGATAACTCTCTTTAATTCACAGGAATATGGTGAAAGTAAATTTTAAAAGGAAAGCTTTTTATAAAGATCCTTGCAAATAAATACTATTCTTAAAGTTTATATTTGCACATATCAGATACATGTAAATGCTTGTTGAATTTAATTTTGATAGACTCTGTGGAATAGGCACAGAGACCATTAAGCCAATTTTAGGTCATAATAGTAAGAAGCCTAATTTCTATGCTAAAAAATTAGGTGAATTAAATGACTTCATGCTGATGTTTTGATGAGGCTTGATGATTTTCTTAGTCAAGACTGCCTCCCATTCCCACTTGGTGGCAAGTAAAAAAAGTAATTTAAATGTACTAGAAGAACCTTGTGTTTCTTAAGGCGCCTAAGGATAAAAGTGCAGTTGCATCTCATGAAGGCCAGAGAATCAGTAGGTAAGAACTGTTACTCTCTTTCTCTGTTTTTTGTCTGCCTCTGTATGACTGATTTATTTACCAGGTTCAAAATGGAAAAGTCCACTAGGTTTAATATCTCCTCAAGTTCAAATTTCTAAGGTAGTATATAACCAGAATTTCTGGATCCCAAGTCCAAATTCTCTGGGGAGAGAATCTCATTGGCCCAGCATTGGCCAATATTTACTCTTATTACAAGATTTCTCATTCTCAACCTTCAGCACTTTTAAAATTTCATGATGAATAATTATTCTTTGTTTGGGTGGAGGTGGAGTGAGGTTCTCCTGTGCACTGTAGGATGTTTGGCAGCATCCCTGGCCTCTACCTACCAGATGCCAATAGATGCTCCCCCAACCCCTACTCAGTGTTTTAACACCAAAAATATTCAGATATTATCAAATGTCCCCTGGGGGCAGAGTCACCTCTGGTTTAGAAACACTGCCCTGTGACTAAGGTTAGAGCATCACAAAACAAACATGGCCTCAGTGACTTACCCCTCTAGAAGGGGCTAGTTCTCAGAGGAAGAAAGGTGTCTGCTTGGCAATTATCCTAAAAGTTGTCTACTATAAGAATAAGAGATGGTGAAAATTATGATTTTTTTTTACTAACCTTTGTATACTTTTTACTAACATAGCCAAATCTCTTAAAATTAATTAAAAGTTTCAGAATTTTGAGTGCCGTATGAATTGAAGGCATATTTAAATTTCAAAGTTAGAGAACACTCATGTGTGCTGTTTTCTCATTCTTTTGATAGAGTGATTTCCAAAACTTTGGCTCTCTATCAATTAAAGAATGATCATTCAGCACTAAAATATTACTACTACTACTACAAAAGAACAATTTGTACTATATTTTTCTATTCTACAAAAATACATATAAAATGCAACAAATATTGACTAAGATAGTTTTATTTGATTTCATTCACTAAGAGTATTATTAAAAGTACTACGTGGGACTTCTGATCCAGAAAAAATGGCATACGCCTCCTTTTCCCTGCCCTTCCTTACTAAGAACAGCTATACCGTGGAAATAATGCAAAAGGCAATAATGCAAAGGAGAACTCTGAAAGGTGTTGAGACAAAGGCAGACTGGTTTGGGACCCTGAACTGGAGGAACAACACAGTAGTAGGCATCTTATGTCTCCCTACCCAACAGAAGAAAGGAATCCAAACTAGCATTCCCTAAATGGAAGCTAGCAACCGAAAGCAGCCCAGGTAGGCTTAGGCATTCCCCAGATTTAACTTGTGGGCCTCAAGAATGCAAGGTGAGGTTGGCTAGCCTGAGAGTCCCCTCTCCCTCCAGAAGACCAGGGGTGGGTGGGGGGACCCACCAGGGGGGCCCAGCCACAACCAGCAGCCAACCTGGGAAGTGTCATTGATCCCTTGGTAAAAGAAGTAAGTGAATGAGTAAAAATTCATTTTTAAATTTGACAACTCGGAAGTTTTTTGCCGTGAGAGGACCTGAGGACCTCTACACACTTCCACAATTTCCATGGTTACTTACCACTTCATCACAGAGTATTACAACCATTCTTCTTTATTTTAGAAATCTTGACTCTGTGCAAATGGCCACATCAATGTTATTTCAGCATCATGTGCAACTCGATTTCAACTACTTTGCTATTAAAACATTGTCTACAAATATTGTAGTGAATTTATTTCACATATTAATCTAATCTTTACAATCCTGCTTAAAATTCTTGCCAAAACTTAGCTGCCATAAAACAGTATTTCTGTCAAATAAGTTAACTTAAGTCTACACTGAGATACTATGTTTCATCTAACTTTTTGACAAAGACCGGAAAGTTTGATAATATACTGTTTTACCCAGGGAATAGGGAAACAGGCATTCACACACATTGCTTCTTGCAGAGAAAACTTTTACAAACTTTACAGAGAACAAGATTTCCATGTTAGTGATCTCTATCAAACTGCATAAACACATGTCCTTGACCTTGTAATTACCACTTCCAGGAATTAACACTACAAGTGAATTCATGCATATATGCATGGAATAAAAAAAAATCAAGGTTCATTATAGCGTGTAAAGCATGCTAGCATTTGAGTGAAAAATGGGCTGGAACATACACGTGTTTCTTACTGTGTGCATAAATAGTCTCTGGAAGAATACACAAAAGTGGCCAGTAACATTTTGTTGCCTAGGGGTGGCTGAAGGACAGAGGCAGAACAAAAGTGGGAAGACATTTTTACTTTATGTTCTTTTATATTTTATGAATGTTGAACACGAAAATGTCCATGAATTATTTTTTTTTAAAAAAGAAAGAAATCATTTACCAAAGAGAATATTTTTTCCTATACCTGTTTCTTTGGTGGCTTACAGTAAAGTAATTACTTTTGTATTTCCTTATTGAAACAGAACCTAACAAATATGAAATGAGACAAATTAGAAATATCTGGACTTTCATCCAACAGTATAATAAATTTCCATAATATCTAATATTTGTATATTCATACTTTTGATAACATTCTCTGTATTTTCTATGCTAATAAAGGAATAAATTTCAAATTGCCACCACACTGGTTTCCATATATTATTCCAGCTGTTGTTATTGCAGCAGGAAGAAAAATCTTTACCACTTATATAGAGCATTTTGTTTTTCCTTTTTAAAGAAACCATTTATCCTTAAGATTAGTAAAAATTCAGTGCTGATTTAAGTATGCCTTTAAGAATGCTGAAAAAATAGATACTTGTCTTTGTATTCAATATACTTTGTTTTTAAATGTTTTAGCAATGATGATAACTTATATTTACTTTAATGACTAATGCAAGGAACAATATAGGCAAGGGCAAGATACACTGTTATTTAATAGTTAATCTATATCCATAATTCATATAGTTAATATCTCTGTGCCTAGAATAGAGTGGAGACACAGTGCTCTGTTTTTTCTCTCTCTTTTTCTTTTTCTAATAAATGAATGGTGTTATAACTACTGGGGAAAAGTACTGAGATATTCGGTTAAGCTCAAATGGAGTTACTATTTTGTACACATTTGGATTTCCTACTTTCTCTGTTATACAGACTCTTAAAACATGGTTAATATCAGCACATCTGTGTTGTTGATAGCATTAACCTGGAAACCACAAAGAAATGTAAGAAACAATTATATATTATGTTTCACTTGAAAGCTATGAAATTAGGCAGTTTACTTGAATAGAAGCAAATCCACCACAAAGCAGCAAAAGCTCATTTTCATGTTTCTGATGACCCAGAAGTGTGAAAAGCATCAATTGTTAAAATTTCTTGACCATTTCAAGCCCATGCCTTCTCAGTGTTGAACACTTACAGGTCTGGCAATGATTTTCTGTGGGTCCCCAGCATCGGCCAGTACAGGACTTATGACAACGTCCACCTGTAGAATAGGAAAAAGCACATATACATTATAATCTTTCACTCTTTGCCTAGAAGCAACTCTTCAATGAAAATATTCTTGCTCCTTTATGGGGATTTTTATGTTATACTATAGTTGAAACATAGCTCATAAAATTGCCCACTTGAGTTGAATGTCAAATGCATATGAAGCTGAAATACAATCTCCTGATACTCAAAATCTTCTCATCATTTTATAAGAAGTTTCAAGCATTTAGGGGCACCTGGGTGGCCCAGTGTGTTAAGCATCCAACTCTTGATTTGGCTCAGGTCATGATCTCAGGGTTGTAAGATTGAAGCCCAGAGCCCCACATAGAGCCCAGAGTCAGGCTCTGCACTCAGCAGGGAGTCTGCTTGAGATTCTCTCTCTCCCTCTGACCCCCCAACCCCCCGCACTTGTGCTCTCTCTCTCAAATAAATAAATGTTTTTAAAAAGTTTCAAGCATTTAAAACATAAACTTCTTAGAAAGTTTAATTTCAGTTATTTGATACCCTCTTTAAAAAATTTTGTTGATACCACCTTCATTTTCTTTTTCTTTTTCTTTTTTTTTTTTAAAGATTTTATTTATTTATTTGATCGAGAATGAGAGAGAGCACATGAGAGGGGGGAGGGTCAGAGGGAGAAGCAGGCTCCCTGCCGAGCAGGGAGCCCGATGCGGGACTCGATTCAGGGACTCCAGGATCATGACCTGAGCCGAAGGCAGTCGCTTAACGAACTGAGCCACCCAGGCGCCCGATACCACCTTCATTTTCAAATACAAACTTTTATCTCCTATAGCAGTATCTTCCTCTTAAGGACTTTGCTACTCTAGGTATTTGGCTCAGCAAATAGTTGTCCCACAGAGAAATTCTCCTAAGGACTCAGCAAAAGAATATTAGCTAGGAGAAATCATATATAATGACTTTCTTTGAAGGTTGCTTCTGAATTTCATAGGTTCGCTCTAAGTATTTGTGGGTATAAAGGTATAGAAGTGCTTATTTTTAGAATAAAAAAGTACACCTGAAAATCTATTAAAGACTAAAGCTTTTCTATAACATAACTCTTATTAAACCTTCTCTTAATTTTCTAATATTAATTGTGAATGGGTATATGCCTATATAAGATGTGTATTCTAATGTAATAAACTATATTGTAAAAATTATGAATTAGAGTTATATCAAATGTTTCCTTCTTTCTTTGACTCATAGGTTACAACTCTTCAACCTGAAAGATCTTACAACTTGGGCAGTTTTTTTGTTGTTGCTGTTGTCTTGTTTTGTTTTTCTCTCTCTCCTTAAGAGACTGCCTGAGTGAACTTGTTATGTTAAATGGTCTCACAGTTAAGGAGCAGATTCAGCAGACACACTTTCTCACGCTGAACCTCAGACCATCCAAATGGTCTACCCTTCCTTCTGCAAGTGAACAGTATTATTTCCAAGTTAATATAACACTTAGGCTCAGTTCCAGTCACCTTCTTGAAAGTATCAGGATCCTTGCCACAAAAGAGTTTATTAAAGGCAATTCTGTTTGTGAAGCACTGTAGCTGACATCACCAGCATATAATATCCTGTCACTCTGCCATCTGTTTATTTAGATCCAAACACATTATAACTACATAATGCAAGCTCATTCTAGCTGACAGGGAAAGGACTCCATCTGGCCTGAACAATATAACTTTAATCAGTGATAATGATAATTATTATTAAAAACCTACTGGAGCTCTTTTGTACTATGCTAATAAATCTAATTTGATTTATACCAGCGGAAATTAGAAAGGGCTGTGAGACAAAATGGGAAGCAGAGAAAACTCTGAGTACAAACTTTTTATGAGAAAGTAGCTAAGGTTAATATATTTCTTTAGATGTGTTAAAATCTTTTAAATCAACCCATTAAGTGGTCTGTTAATTAAAGAGACCTGAAGCAGAAGATGATCTACTATTTAATCTATGACTTCTTTAATTGTGTTGGAGGCTAGTGAAATATTTAGCTGTATTCACTGTGACCAGAGCACTCTCGGTAGCTAGGGGGGTGTGGGGGGGGGAAGCTAAGTAATAGTGGACATTTTAATATACTCAGTGTTCCATTTTTATTAGATTATATATTTTCTACCTTCTTATTCTTTCAGTTTTGATTTAGCACCCCAAGACCTATGCCTAGATCCAGTATAAAAAGGAATATTACTAGAAATTTGGTTTATGGTTCTTGACAAAGTATCATGACAAGAGCCACCTAGTTGGAAACAAATGATCTAGTACCCACACACACACAAAGTTTAAATAATTTAACCTTCACTATGTACATGTTGTTAGGAAATTTTGTTTGTTAGTGTCCATTTTTTATTCAGATTTAAACAAAAATATCTATTACTGCTACAAAATAAGGAAGCTAACAACAACCGCCCCTCTTCTGGGATTTTACTCAGTCTTGTATTCCCTTCAACCCTTTTGGAAACCAAGAGGAGGAGGATCACTTGGCTCACACATTTCAGAATTCTGTTACTACACACATGGGAGGAACCATGACCTCAGAGTGCTCCACAAATTGTTGCTCATTCTGGCCTGCCCTTCATTTGACTGTCTTTGACTCTTTGGAATCTGCCGACACATTCAGTTCAGCTTTAGTCTTCAAAATCGTGCCATATGTGGCCCTTGGGAAAACACTATTTTCACTGAGTTGTTGCAATTCAGTAAGTGTCAACATATCTGCAAAATCTGGAGGTATTTCTGAATTAACGTACTTGCCATACTTTCACGTCTGCAACCTTAATTTGATTCTTGCAGGCAACTGGGTAGTGCAGTTTAATATGCTTTAAAATATGCTTTTAGGTTTTTGTTTTCAACATTTCTGCTGCACACAAGTGTCAAAAAATGAGAAGGTAGGTGAGGGGTTTCCTTATTAACTACCTATCTAGAATAGGAAAAATGAAACAGAACAAAAAACAACTACAATTTTTTCTCCCCTACCTTCTTCCCATCTATTTATCCAAAAGTATTTTTTCAGTTCCTTCTGCATCTGTGTATTAGGAACTATGTTAAGTATCGAAACAGACATGGTGACTTCTCTAATAGAGTTTAGAATTAATTTAGCATTATTTTAAAGGGAAAGGATTTTGGTTACTCTGTATCTAATGTTCACCTTCTATGGGGTTTAAGGAAAGAAGCCAACAAATCTAAATTTTTAACAGTCCTCTTACTCAGGCAAGAAGAGTTGGATGCAGCCAGGTTGAGTTGGACCATTTCCAATGTAATGCCTGGTGGCTTGGAAGTCCACTCCATTCCTTATACAATGATTTATCTATATGACATCTAAAATGAGATCAGCCTGGAGCATTCCAGTGGAGAGGGTAAGTATGGCCCATGAAGGATCCCCTGTGTGTCCTCTACAGAAAGAAAAAAAACTTTAATGATGGCCCATTATCTTACTGAGAACTTCCTATTTTCTATTCTCAGATTCTCAGGCATTCAGTGTCTCAGGAGGGCTGATTTCAAGAGGAAAAAAGACCATATATTCACAACTCTTCTACTGTGAATTAATTTTATAAATAACTTCTCTAGTAGTATGTTTCTAAAATGAGGAAGCAGAAAGAAGAGATAGATACTAGTCTATGTAAATGGAAAAAAATGTTTTGGGGCACGGAGACTTTGCCAGTGTTGTCTAAATCTGCCTATTTCCAAGTCTCAATCTGCTACAGGATTCTCTTCCATTGCTTATTACAATAATTCTTTTAAAACTATGTGAGAAAATGTGCCACTTAAAAAATAAGAATCTGACATTTCCATTCAGCTTAGTGATAGCATAGTTATTTAAATCAATACTCCTACCTCTTGTCACTCTGACTCCAAGAGGTGAAATATAAAATAAAACACAATTTTAAACAAATATTTCTGTTCACTTTAGCAACCATTTTAATCTTTTAAAGTAAGTGCTGATTACTGCACATCAGCATTAATTTAATTCACAATCACCTCTACTTTGACAACTCATTATTCATCACAGAAGTTAGCAAATATGACTAAATTCATCTTTTATGCTTGTCCAGCAGAAGTTATTAAAAACATAGCTTTTGCTTTTTCTTTCTTTCTTTCTTTTTTTTTTTTTTTTTAGGAACTAGAGTCCCTGAGCCACTTTGTAAATTCATGCTAGAAGTTTTGCTCGTTTGTGGGATTACCTGACAGAAGAGATGGGATTTAACATTTACCTCTGGACTGCTTTCTGCAAGTAATATGCCAAGACAGTAGTTACAAAATATGAAGTCACTGGCAACCATAAAAGATTATATCCTCAAACTGCTTCTAGCTAAAGGCAATGCAGTTATATCCCTGGATTCTTCTTTTAGTCCTTTTAAAAACTGGCAGTCTTGACCTCTTAAAACTTCCTTTACTGGGGAAAGAGTGAGATAATAGTATCTTTTTCATGACCCTATAATTCAGAAGGGAGAAGTGGAACATTTATTGGAAGTCTACACTAAATCAGTCCCTATTCTTGAATGGATGATAAAAACATGAATAAGTAAATGCCCTGCCCTCAAGGAGCTTTCAAGGACCAGAAAATAAGTAGAAGAATAGGCAAATAATTATGATCATCATATTTGCTAAAATATAGGTATGCATAAAGTGGAGAGGATGGATTTGAAAGAGGCTCCATGGAGGGGCAGGCATTTCAATTGGGCTTGAATGTCTAGTTTGTCAGAAGATAAGAGGAAGGAAGTTCAGGCTCAATGATTAACCTGAGCAATGACACAGAGGCATGGATGCACACAACTCTTTGGGGCCATAACGAATACTTTATAGTCCTTTGAGCTATTTGCATCGGGACAGCATCTGGAGGGTAAGCTTACAAAATGTCTTGAAAATCTTCTAAACAGGTTACAGTTTACTCTGTGCAGGTGTTATGGAGTTGGTCAAATTTTTAAAAACTGAAATTATGTGGTTTGATCTGCAGGGTGGAAGAGAATTTCAGGTTATGGTTCCCAAAAGTTAGTGTTGAGATTTGAGAACCTATGC